AAAATTTTACAGACCATTGCCATACAGAAACATGCTCAAAACAGCAACAATGCCACTTGTGCAGGCTGGGTGAAACAGCTGCCAAAGCCACTGTTCTTTTACTGTCCTTATGTCATGCTGGTCAAAGAAATGATATTGTGGGTGAAACGGCTCTGATCACAGAGGTAGTGTCTTGCATGCTTACAAATAGAAAAATACAAAAGAAATGAAATTAGGAAGTAATTATGTCCAGAGATATAATGTAGCACTCTTATGTCACTGTCACACAGGTATAACAAGGTATTAAACTGGAATTCATCCTCAGCCTGAGGATCTGGAGACAATTTAGATATGAACAAAAGAAAATAGGTAGTGTACCTTGTAATTCCTGAACTTATATTATGAGGGAAAATAGAGTTCTATCAGAAGATTGGAATTATGTCCCCCCAAGCCCACATTTCTTCCAGATAATGACACACACCTCACAATACACACAGACACAGATCTCTACCCCTAAGGCAGGAGTTTAAAATGGCTAAGATTGGTAATGGCAGAGGGCTGTATCCTGTTGTAGCATCCATCTTCATGGGTCTTCCAGAGGCTGAGACAGTACAGCAAACTCTCTCTTGGACCCATGTTTTCCCACTGATGGCAGGTGGGGCAGCCTCAGGTAGAGATTTCTCATTACTCACATCTGTTTGCTGTTTTGCTGCACTTGAACTGTCAGTTTGACATTTTACATCCTCAACATGAGCCGGGCAGATATAGGTGGGAGGTGGGCAGGCAGACAAAAGCAACAATAAGGCTGCTAAATGCCTTTCTGAAGAAGAACTGGATGTGATCTGTACATCTGTTTGAGCTCCCCCATGCTGTACATAAACCAAAACTTTCAGCTGAATATGTAAGGTAAACACTGGCCAAATGTCTGTGTTGAACTGGCAACTGCACAAATTTGAGCTGTCCTACTGTCTCAGAATATAAAAGGACCCTCTCCGCACATCCACTCCAGCTTGGGAAATGGTCAGAAGCTATGATGTGGACCTTATAACTCAAAAATGTCTGAAAGAAAGTGACTTGCTTAAAAGTGCATCTTGGGTTATGCGCAAAAGCTTGTGGGTTACACAAAGTTAATGTAAAAAAATCAAATGAAATCTTGAAGCAGATAATTCTTCTATCAACAACAGGAACCTGCTGAAAATAAAAGTCTGTTTTGAGAGCTGGGTGAATAAGGGAAGACTGCAGAAAATACTGAATTCAGCAATCTCTAGTCTTCAGTATTGGACTTCGCCACTGCAATGAACTTCTGTCCTAATTTATTTGGCTTCAGAAAGACAGAACTGAAAAACAACAGATAATGAATAATTATTAATGTGGAGCACATTACTAGTGATTACAATGTTCCAAATCACCATATGAATGTTACCACTGTGACACTGTAGTGATTAGAAAAAGCATATTATGAGTTCAGGTTAATATACTCCGAAGTTGACCAGAGGACTTTCACACTTAATCAGTGCTGTTCAGCAAAACTCGTGGTTCAGAGGCATGATGGAGCCTGAGAACTGTAGTCTGACTGCATTCCATACAGTTATTTACTTGGAGATCATGTAACACTGATCCCAAATTAGGTATTGTTTCCCATGACCTTTTTGCCTGTTAGGTTGGCCACAGGAACCAACCAGCTCCACACCACTGGAAGCCAGTGAAGCTTTTCCCATGACCCTGGCACACTTCGGAGTAGATGTAAAGGGAGATGTGATCTGCAGCATCCCTGAGTCACAACATCTTTTCACAGGGAACAAGTTCCCCATCCCTGTGGGCTGGCTCTCAACCTCAAAGTCCCACAGCCAGTTCCTCATAGTTTTCTTATTAAATCTGAGCTTTGGCCCATCCTGCCTCCTGGCTTTGCATTACCCTAAATCCTGATGATATTGGTGAGATCAGCTCCCCAGGGATACAGGCCCCTCTTTCATATGTCCTAAAGATAAGTTTAAATACTGAATGTCTCACCAATTTCTAATTTCTCTAGGGAAAAAACCCAACTATATTGGCCCTTGAAAACATCTACAACCAACCATCCCACATGGCAAATCACCCCCACAGTCACCAAATGCCCAATGAGTAAGTGGGCAGCAACCTGCCTCCTACAGCTCTTAATGCAAAACAGCTAATCCATAGGTGATTAATCTCAAGGAACATTTTTCTCTCCCTCTGAATCAACAGCCTTCCTTGGGAAGCTTCACACTCCACACAGCAGAGGGAAGCTGGGAGTAATTTCCTGCACTGCTGGATCTAAGTCCTGCCCCAGCAGAGCAATGTCACCCAGACATACAGAGCTTCAGGCTGCCATTCTGGCACTTAAAGCTTCTTGCCTCTTTTTCAGGTGTTGTCTCTCTGAGACACCACCACCATCAAGGTGATTAGTTTAGTTAAATTAGTTGTTTAGTTTAGCTTAACATTTACTTAAAACTGAGCATTTGCAACTGGAGCTGAAACATCTGAAAATGTAATTCTCAACCAGACCTAGAAGAAAATGCCGATATCAGTGGAAAATGCCAATATCTGTTGCCAGGACTGCAAGACACAGCTTATTGCAGTACAAGGCCAGCATTAAAAAAGATTAATTTATGGAATTAATTTATGTTTGTAGCCCTAAAATTGTCTGTTTTGCAGTACTCTGCACAGAATTTCCGGACCTTCTATCCACTTACCCCCACCAATCACTGATTGTTCCGTTCACTTACATTCCATCTTCCCGCTCCAACTCTACACTCTCTTCTCCCCTCTCTTCCCCAGGAAGCAAAAGAGAATCCAAACTACACACTTGAAGTGCACTGATACTCCCCAGTGAAAAGCAATATAAAGACAAATATAACTGGGTATGAGATAGAAGAGCAAAACACATTCTAAAATGGAAAGAAACTTGCCATTTATAAGGCTAGGAATTATTTTTTTTCTAGGTAGGGAGGCACAGCTGATAGAAAAAGCTGATAAGCTTTGTGACCCACAAGCATATTCTCAGATATCCAACAGGGATGAAGAAGCAGCTGCATTTTTCATATAAAACTTCATAGATTAGAAATTTAAACGTGTCCTTGAGCACAGGATACACTGGTTTTTCCCATGACTGCACTTGTTAAGCCACATTGGCCAACATGGTGCCCCACAATTAACCTTACTCACCACCTTTTAAGGAGGAAAATTCCCTTGAGGTCATGCCTAAGGCAAAGTTCCTCAGAATTTTGCTACATGCTCCTTAGGGTCCCTAGAAATGTTTCATGTCCTTGTACCTGCCCCATGGTTCAAACTGCACCCAGAGGCGGTCGAGCACACACGCCCACCTCGCCCTTTTGCTTTGGGTGTCCCTAAATTAGGCTGCTACTGCTTGAAGAGGATTGCAAACCTGTGTTCCAGCAGCAGGATGCCACACACGGTGTGTCAGCTCCTTGCAGTTTGCCAGGCATAATCAGTCCCTGGTTTTAAGGCACAGATACAAGTCAGCTCACAAGGCAGCCACCTGCTGGCATTCCTGCTGTCCCAAGTTTTGCTGCAGTCCTGCTCCTGGAAGCCAATCCTCTCATCTCTGCTTGTGCAGCTCCATATGAAGCTATCTCTTAGGCACTGATGAAGGCTGTCTCAACTCACAGGACAGCTTTCACACTGGAATCCGTAAGAGATTGTTCCCAACATTTGCACAGCCAATGCTGATGTGTGAAAGATGCAACTTTTCAACCAGCACAGAGAGATCCAGCACAGTGTGTTTGCAAACAACTGAAAGTTGTCATGTCAGCACAACATAAAGCTGCCTGCATAACTGTGGCTTGAGTTTTGTGACCAAAATCCACACTTTCAGCTCTACAGCAGATATCGAGCTTTGATCTCATTTATTCTGGGATTAATTAGGAATAACATCTCCTGTAGTCACTGCTTTCAAAGGTTAAAGCTGGTATAAAGCAAGGAGTCAGGACTAAGGAATCAGTCAGGCTACGTCTTGTGAGCACAAGTACTTAACAGCAGTCTCTGCTCACTCTGAGTTTGTTTATTAACAAAAACAGGTCTTACTACCAGCATCAAGGATGTTGGAGGGCATGCTCACTTCCTGAAATACAGTCAGCATTTCCTGGGTTCAAGTTTTTCACAGGCCAAAAATAACTGCGTTCCGAGTGAGCTTCTACTCTCTGCTATTGAAAACTGCCTGTTTTTCCATTCACTGCCAGTAAGATTGGACAGAAGCTTTTCACAGAAAAACAAAGTTTATTCTTCTTTAGTTTCTGTGAGGACATTTGAAGAGAAGAACGCAGGGAATGGCACTGCAAATACTGCCACCAAAACCAGCAGGAGGTCACGTGAATTTATTCTCCCAAATGTCTGACTTCACATCCTTATAGGAAAAAAAACCCCAAAATCTACCCCTCATTAAACCAAAGAAACAACAATACCAATTAAAAAAAAAGCTTCACTGTTGCTTGGAAAATTGTGGTTTGCTGTTCTACCAGAAGTTTCTCATGCACAGAAGAACCTGTGCAAGGTAAAAGAGTGAAAGCTGGCAGTGAGAGACTGTAGTTCTTGGTATTATGTCAGCCTGCCATGTAAATGGGTTTTTCTACTTCTGATCAAGCTCCAAAATTCCACAAACTATTCTGAAGACTTCCAGCAACTGAGGTTAATTCACCACAACTACTTTATTTTTGAAGGCTGTTGCTTCTTGCTTTGGAAACAATGTCAGTTATACCAGCTGTCAAAGAATTTTCAAAACCACACTATATGAGACCTTTCTGTGTTGTTTAGTATGAAATTGCATGGGATGAATGGAGACCATGACACAAACTGGTATAATTTCTGGAAGTAGTTTCAGCCAGTTCCACCAACATTTTTTTTACTATTATTTCTCACATTAATAACAGAAAAGAAGGCTTTGCCCAAGCAGGCAAACAAGCTATAGGTTTGCTTTTACCATGATAACCACAACAAAGGATATATTTGTGTGGAGACTTGTTAAAGTTATTGAGAAGCAGACAGCATTATCCTGATAAATTTATTGAAGGTGGAATGGAGAAGGACACTTGGATCAGGAATACTGATCCCCAAAACCCAGCAATCAAACAAACAGATAAAAAACATCTATAAAATACATCATTTTGGTTGTGGATCAGTTAGTAACTTTTAAGGTTAAATTAAAAAATGCATGCATATATTACAAAAAGACAAGGTTTTTTACATCTTAAATATTTTTTTAATAAATTACATTTACAGAGAACAGTAGACATAAAAGGTTTAGTCCTATCAAAAGTGACTTTTGAACGTTTGTACACTGTACAGTATACAAGCTGTACACTCATGCAATACAGCTGCAAATAGAAGAAGAAATTGTGGGAGTGGAAAGGGCAAAAGTCGAAACAAGGGGAAAGCTGAAGCTTCTGATCTTCGGTTACCAGTGCCAAACCTTCATGATTCTTTACACATACCATGTTCAAAATGAACTAAACTGGCTTTCAACTTTCATAAACAGCCCGCATGTAAACATAATGAAAAACCCTCCATAGCTTGATGTTCTGAAAATATTAATGCATGGTGTTTTTCTTTTTGATACTTTCTAAACTTCATTATATACACGACCTCAGTTTTCAAGTTTTTGTTCTAGTCTAAAGCAACTTAAAAACATACTATTATTTCCTAGGAGTGAGTAGAAGTGAGATGACATTCTCAGAAAAATATGAAGAGCAAAGGCTTAAAAAGTCCTAAAAGTTCAAAAAATATAAAAAGCTTTAGGAAAATCCCAAACATGTTGTTAATAACATCTTTGTTCCAGTGCACCAAGCTGAAATGTAGTTTTATCACAGAATGAACCACTGTCAGGAGATGATCCATTTGCCAGGCACCTGGCAAATCTAGTACATAGCTTTGTCTAGAACCAAGACTAGAAAATGCAAACTTCCACCCATCTGGGCCTGCTGAAGGATAAAGTTTTTTTTCTGACTGTAAAAAGACACTGACAAAAAAAGTGAAAACCAATCAGTTTTTCATTTGGAAACATTCATGCAAATATATAAAACTTTGTAAATCTCTAAATATTAACTACAAAGAGGCTTTAGTGTGTTAGTAAAAAAAAAATCCATAAAACACACTATATAACAAAACATATGGCTTGTTAAAACTGTACATAAAACAATTCAAAAGATTTTGTCCATGATTTGTGCTATTTGTCTTCACATAGTAAAACTAGAAAAGGAGGCTGTCTTTCCTGAGGAAGAAAAAGAGGCACTGGAAACAGTTCAGCCTGTCTTCAAGGGGCTTATTGATGAAGTTCTGACAACTCCATTCCTTGTGGAAGCCCTTCAAGTGTAAAGGTAGCACCTCCTTCATCATTGAATTCTACTGCTTCTCTTCCATATTTGTTTGGGCAACAAAGCAATTATTTGCTTATGCTTTAAGATCTGAAACAAAAGAATAGGAAAAGCACAAAGGTAAACTACTAGGTCTTTTCTTCTAGAAATTGAACTAGGTACACGAGAATACTGCAGGCTTTAGATACTAATGAGGTGTTGTGAAGATGCACCAAGACACTGTCACATGATTCGTAACAATCCAGTCAGAGCAGGTACACGACCAATGGTATCTGATGGCCCCTAAACATTTTACCCAAATTATCTCTTTATGATTAGGCACATTCCAACTGGACCACTTTTAGAACATTTATTACTTACTACCAGCCACCTGCTAAGCAGCTGGTAACCTGCAAAGTTGTTCTGACTCCATGACTTTGGATCACATAATCAGGCAATTAAGACACCACTGCTTTTCAAATGTTTTATGTCTATAATCTCAATATCAGCTGTGCATCACACATGCATATGTTGCTGCTGCTATTTCTTCCACACAATAATGCCAGGTGCTTTTGGAGTTTTCTGTTTTGAGGACTGAAAATACAGCTCTTATTTGACAAGAAGACTGAAGGCCAAGGGAAGTTACAGTGCAGGAAGTTCAAGACTACATGCCCAGCCTAACTCATCACATGAAACATGCATCAGCCTCTAACCAGGCTGGTTTCCAACAAAGCACCCACAAGCCCACTTACACTGGTATTTCCACCTTGTTGCACACATAGCAACTCTATAAGGGGAGCCACCTGGATGAGCCAGGACACCATGCCCTTTGGTCTTTGCTCCCATTTTGATAGCACTTCCCATCCCTTCAACTAATCTCCAGCTCAGCATCACTCCAGGACAAGATGTCAGGAGATGGTCCAGGAGAGAAGAGTATGGTGACATATGGTACACAGCTCTGTAGGTGATGACAAAAAGAAAGCTGTCCCTAGCTTGATTCCCATAAGGTCCCTGGACAGGCTTGAAGTATTTTTATGATTCATGTGTTTAAAATCCAAGCAGGTTTACTGCTTTACCTTAGTGACAATACTAAAGAACAAGATCAAAAAGCCAGTTGTGTGTGTGCACGTTTGTTTGCTATTTCCTCATATCTGTGCAGTTAGAGGGTCTGAATATGAAATAGAGGTCTGTCACTTTACAGCTTGAGGGATAAGCATCAGTTTTCATTACCCCACCTACCCCCAGAACACACAAAATGTTCTGTTCTCACACAGTTTGCAAACAGAACTGAAGCAAGCACAGCTGCATCTGGTGCCTCAGCATGACATAACAACAGACCAGTTTCAGATGCTAAACCTTTAAGGGTGATGCAGGAGCACAGTTGGTTAGCCCAGCAAAGCAGCACATCACGTGGACCAGGAATAATAATCTGAGTTACTTCATTTGGCTTTCAGTATTACTCATTGTCAACTAACAGGATCTGACTCAGTTCTTACGACACACCACACCTTCCTCTGCAGCTCTGCAGACTGTTCCAAGTCCGTTTCCTGGTTTCATGACAGGTTCATCAGCAGTTTTGTCTGCATTACAGAGTCAGGTTTTTTATACTCAGTCCTAACTCTCTCCCACCTTCCCGCTCATCCATGTTTTCTCATATTCGGAGATTTTTTTCACCCCTCTTTTCAACATTGTCTTCAGCAAATACCAGAATTAATAGACACAATAGCTTGGTTGGTAATTCAACAGAAGTATCAAACTTGGCAGAACAAAAAACTGCAGCAGTAAGGTGCCACTTGCTTTCACACTGCTGTGCATTTGAGAATGTTTAAATGGATTATCAGCAGACTCAAAAGTGGACGTGCACAAGGCAGTCCATTAAAAACGCACTTTTGAGAATGTTTAAATGGATTATCTGCACCAGACTCGAAAGTGGACGTGCACAAGGCAGTCCATTAAAAACGCACTTTTGCAGCAGTAATAACATTTTAAAAATAAAAATACTATTTACTTCATCATTATAATTTTTAAATTTTTATTTTGTGCATGTTTTATAATGTATGTCATACTTGAATATTGTAATAATTGTATATAACTTAAAAATACACATAAATTTGGTGTGCATGTTTGAAGTATTTTTCTGATGTGGTAGACAATCACAAAAGGATTGGTGACCACTCACCTACAACACAAAAATCAGAAATTAGTATAAAAGGCCCACAGTTACACCACTCAAGTAAGGACTGTATAACAGACAAAATGACATTTTTCCTTTTTTTTTTTCCAAGAAAGGAACATCATTCACAGTCAGCCTCTGTGTCAGTCAGCACACTCACCCGGGACAGAGAGCTTCACCCTCACATACCTTCTTCAGTGCAGCTGGAAGAGTTGTTCGGGTGCCCCCCATTTTCAACTTCTGTATCCTGGGTCACTTCTGCAAGGACAAAGGCAATACTCAGACAATCCTGGACCTCACAACACTCTGCCTCTCTGCCCCAGATGGATCAAGAACACTCTGACCGGGATTTGGACCATTTGTTTGGCAACAATAGTAACCCTGACCAACACGCCTCACTCCCATGGGATCACCATCCAACACCTCCCTTCTCTCCTCCATTCCTGATCTGCACTGTCTTCACAATCCCTCACCCACCCTGTAAAGGCCAAGCACAGGAAGCACTCAGCGCCCAGGGTGCCACCCATTAGGTGGCATTAGGCAAAAGTCTGAACAAAGAGTGCTCCACAGTCCAGGCACTTACCCCCTTCATTCATACCATGGCCACCTGCACGGTTACTGCGTGCATACACAATACAGAAAGGCTCCTGGAGAGCATCCATGAGGATGGTGAAGGGTCTGGAGGGGAAGCCTTATGAGGAGTGGCTGAGGTCACTTGGTCTGTTCAGCCTTGAGGAGACTGAAGAGAGACCTCACCACAGTCCACAACTTCCTCGTGTGGGGAAGAGGAGAGACAGGTACGACCTCCTCACTCTCATGGCCAGTTACAGTACTAGAGGACATGGCACGAAGCTGTGTCAGGGGAAGTTTAGGCCAGATATCAAGAAAAGGTTGTTTCACCCAGAAGGTAGTTGGGCACTGGAATAGGCTCCTCAGGAAAGTGGTCACAGCACCAAACCTAACAGAGTTCAAGAAGCATTTGAACAACACTCTCAGGGTTATGGTGTGATTTTTGGAGTGTCATCTGAAAGGCAGAAGCTGGAGTCAATCCTGATGTGTCCCTTCCAACTCACCAGATTCTATGATTCTATGAAGGGACCATGGCCAGTTTGCCTGCCAGGTTGGCAGCATTGCCTGCTCCATAGAACAGGCACTTACCTTCCTGATTTACACCATTCTTAGATATCTGCTTGTCTTTCAGGGCCCTGTCATTCTCATTCAATGCTCTGTCTGAAAAGAGATCAGAGAACAACTGCAGTCCTCAGGAGTACAGCCCATTGCTTCTGCCCCTCCCCAGCACAGGCCACTGCTCTGTGCAGCCCAGGGCTCAGAGCACACCTTCCCCTCTGCATGTTAAGTACTGCTGTGCTGTCAGCAAAAGCCCTGCTTGAAATTGCTTTGTACACACGTTTCAGAGGACATCGTAGCCTTGTCTGCTATTTTCCATCCCTAGAGCAGTGACTGCCTGTTCCCCAGGTGCTGCTGGCTGCCCTGCACAGAGGTGCACTAACTCCCCTGCCTGATGTTCCCATTCTATTCTGCATCTCGTGTCCAAACACACAACCTTTATCTATGGACCTGATTTCTCTCTTGCCTGAACTGTGCGTTTCCCTCCTTTCTACTTTAACTCAGGTGTAAAATAAGCCTCCTTTGCCTATACCCATGTCTATGTATATGGAAACAATTACACAAGTGATGACACAGTCCTGCAGTGCACCACACCTTCTACACAATCCCTGTTTCTCTGGATGAAAGAAAGCTGTTACAATCCATGCAGGAAGAATAAACAGCAAACCCCAGGGGCTTCTGAATTTTTTGTTTCTCTGGATGAAAGAAAGCTGTTCCATACCCACTACAATCCATGCAGGAAGAATAAACAGCAAACCCCAAGGGCTTCTGAATTTTTTTGAGTTTCTTTTTCCTTATTGTCATAACTGGTGATTTTTTTCCTTTATAGGAAAGACTTCTGCCTTCTCCAACCCCTTATTATTAGCCTGTGGAAGAGTTAGTGAGTGAATGAATCACTAGTGCAAAAGACTGGGGAAAAAACTGACATTTGTTCTCGACTTGAACAATAAGGTTGAATTTCACTAGTCCTTTGGAGTTAAAAGAACTTCTAGAAAAAATACAGGTCCCAGAACATCCTTAAAATTTGCACTGACTGGACTAAGAAAACAAAACTGGAGCTTTGCTTAACTGCTTGATGAATGCAGTCAATAGACTTTTCTAAAGCACACAGCAAGTGGAAGATACAGCAGGCTTTGGTCCATAGAGAAGCACATTTCTGGATGAAGTATCTCCCAAATATGAATTCTGCAAGCTGGTAAGATCCCATCTCTAAATTGGTGATGAGGCTCTTATCTTTCTTCCGTGTTTAGTTCTTTTTCCCACAGATGGCAAAAGCAGCATCATTCTCATCATATCAAGAGGGAAGATAAAGCCCCAAGAGGGTGTTGCTCTGTGTTGATTAACAAACACAGCCTCCAGGTCTTTCTGATTTCTCCTCTACTGATCTACCCATCAACATTTACTGTTCCTAAAGCAACAGGTTCTTCTAGGCCAACAGGGAAATGGCAAACTTTGTACTCAGGACATGCTAATATGGCCTGGACTACAAAAGACCATGTGCAAAATTACTTTTCCCCTTCATATTCCTCTGGTTTAGGCCTCCATCTCACTTCTTACCTGCTTCAGGTTCTTCATTCTCACAATGAACAGCGTGTGAAAATGCAGCTGCAAGAAAACAGAAATCCTTTTCCAGAAACATGTATGAAGGTGGCACAACAGTCTGCAAAATATGCAACTCAGCCCTCAAGTGACAACTTTAAAAAGCTTTAAAAAGCTTATAACACTTTTTAAAGATATTCCTGAGAACCACTATGTTATGCCACTTTAAGGACTCGCAATTAATTTAAACTTCAACTTCCCTCCAGCAACCACTTAAGGTCCAGACCATAACCAACATTGTTTATATTTATGCCTAGAACTTTACAAAAGTCTAGCCAATGTAGATCTATTGGTAAAGCTGCACAGATCTGACATAAAGAGCCAGAGACAGCTGAGAAGGGAATCTGCATCTACTTTTTTTCATCTGTGTTGCACTAACACTGTAACTTTCAACCCTTGTTCTTTGCAGACCTTAAAGAATCTTTAATAGAAATGTTCTAAAGCACATTTAAGTGTGGTACCAAAATGAGGTTTTTTGGGGGGTTTATTGGGCTTTTTTTCCTACCATCCTCCTAATTTTCTCACTTTCAGATTCATCCATAGTCTCAGCTTCAGCAGGCTCTGAGCCATGGGCTAGAACCAGAGCTTTAACAAATGTAAGGTACCAGACTGAGCACCCACGTGAAGGCACTGTGAACTCAGCACCAGAACAGTCCAAGAGGCCACTGAGCCTCCCACTTGATGGCAGGAGCTCTGGCCTTCCCCCACTAAAACACTGTTTTGTCTGGTAACAGAATATTTCTTAAGAATCCTCCCCTGCTCTCCACAGTATGCAGAGAGCAGGGGAAGATTCTTAAGAAATGTTCTGTTACCAGAAATGCCTTGGGGGTTAATTTTGTGTGGTTCCTAAAAACAGACCACAGTCTTGGCAACAAAACTCATATGTTAAAGCTTATGATAGCCAAATTCACCCCTATGAAAAGGGCACAGAGAAAAGGAGTTGCCCCCTTCCTTAGCTGCTCACTGTATAGAGTGATTTCTACATCCCAACACACAAGAAGCCAGAAAACAGCGCAATATTGCTGCAAATTAAGGAAGTAAAAAAAACCCAAAAGACTCCAACAAAACACTAAGAAAAAAACAAAAAAAAATCCACAGTCAAACAAACAAAAACCCCCAACAAACAAAACAAACAACCAAACACCCCCACCAAAAAAAAAAAAAAAAACAACCAAAAAAACCCCACCTCAATGCAGATTAGAATGGAGAGCAGAAGCCCAGGCAGAGATCTGGACAGGAAGAGAGGAATGACAGATTGCCCTACAGGGTGCACTTTTTCCAGCCCTCATCCTGAGGCCAGCCCCAATTCTCCATTGTTAGAAAGGTAATTCACCTTCAAAGACAGCTGCTGACCAGGAAAATCTCAGGTCATTCACTGTCAGTAACTTTGCCAACCCCACCAACACATTCACTAGGTGCAGGTCCCTATAATCATCCAATACTGGACCTCAAGTGAGATTTTGATTCTGCATGTGCACACTTTGAATACCAATTCAAAAGCTCAGACCATGCAAAAAAAGGGTCAGAGCAAACCAGACTCCCTGCTCCAACCAAGAGCAGGTGTTTAGAAACATTAATACCCCAATACACGTTTCTTACCTCCCTCTGAATTAGATTGTTGTTGGCTGTTCCCAGGGAAAAGTTGCTCATGTTCTCCTATAAAGAAATGTATTTGTTTTAGAAAGTATGTATTAATGAACTGGAAAAAATAATGACACTCACAAAAAACTTACTCCTTTACCTCTCCAATGAAAGATTACACTGACACAGAATAAAAACTGACAAGCCCAGACCAAGTACCAGTCTGATTTCCACACATTTGTGACACTATCTTACCTGAGCCATTTGCTGGACTGTTATTCTGAGCAGTCCTTCTTTCTAGTCCACATTTAATTATACCTGCACACAAATAGAATAATTGGAGAAATTACTCAGAAACAAAGTTTTGCACCTCTGGAAACTTGCTGACAACCTCCATCCGTTCCATCCCCCTCTCCAACCCCCAAACCAAAAAATAATACACTTCACTGAAAACATGAAACTGAATACTTGACTTGGAGGAAAAAATGAAATACTGTTTTTAGGGAAAGACAGTCAGTGAAAGATCAAGAGAATGGGTTGTTCCTGTGACAGCAAGTCAGAACACATCTAATCTAATCTAACGTGGAGCTTAATAATTTCTGATTATATGTCTTGTACTTAAAACAGCAAATTTCTACTGTTTGATTTTACCTGTGCAATGCTTATCCTACCAAGGTATAACAGGTTTGTTTTCTTGCATGTTCAGACCCTTATTGTTTCAAGGAAATTAACTGAATTGTTTTGATTCTAACTGATGATCAGTTTTGAGTGACATTCTTTGTGTGTTAACACCAAGAGCAGTGTTGTTTAACACCACCAACTTAAACAAGGACACAGAAGGCACTTTCAGAAAGTTTGCAGATGATATCAAACTGGGGAGAGTAAGGGACATGCTGGAAAGCAGGCTTGCCACTCAAACTGACTTCAACAACCTAGAGAAACATGCTGGCAGAAAAGATGTGCTATTCAAAGGCAAATTCCTGAATCTCTTAAGTCACCCCATGGACCATTACGGGCTGGGCTCTGCCTGGCTGGGAAACAGCTCTGCTGTTTCCTTTCAGGAAAGGACCTGAAAGCATGAACGAGCTCAGCATTACACAGAAAAATGTGCCCTTGCTGTAGAAGGCTTCCAAATACTGGGCTGTGTTAGCAGAATTGCAGTCAGCCTATCAACACAAAAAATTCCTCATCTCTATTCGATATTTGGGACACCACATGTGGAGTACTCTCTCTAGTTTTAGTCTCCCAATTAATGTAAAACCACCATCTTTCTGAAGTTAGTCCAGCAAATGTCCACCACAATGTCTAGGGGCAGGAGCAAGGAGGTGCTGAGAGAACTGGGTTTGTTCAGCCTCAAGAAGAAGGGTAAGAGGATGATGGCTCACTGCAGTCTACAACTAACTACAGAATACAAAGGAAACCCCTCTCAGAAAAAACCAGGAGGCAATGGCTACCAGTTGCCAAAGGGCAATCCTGAGCAGAAATAAGGACAATATCCTTCCCTACAAGAGTGATTCAGCACTTAAACACGTGCTGAAAGAGGCTGGGAAATTCCCACCCTTGGAACTGTTCAAAGTTTGACTGGACAAGGCCTTAAGCAACCTGATCTAGCTTTGAAGTTGGTCATGCTTTGAGCAGCAAGTTGGATGAAACTTCCAGAGATATATTCCCACCTAGTTTATTTTATGATTCCATGCCAACAGAAACTAAATGGACAATGAACAGGAAAGTAAAAGGTCCACATGCAATATGTATCTATTTATGTCCTGATCAGAATATCATCAATTAGTCCTTCCCAGATGGGAGATGCCTCCAGTACTCTTCACCCTGCAGCCACCTCCAAGTGGTAGCCCCATCTGGAAGTCAACATGAATCTTCCATGCAGAGCAGGCATAGGATGAAGAAATATATTCCTGTTTGGGACTCTCTCCAACACAAGGAGAAAAGATAGTGTGCCACTCTTTTTCAAATCAGAAGACAATTTAACACAGAAATCAAAAAACATGGCAGAAAAAGATACAGTGACAGCCTATAATTACTATTTCTGATTAAACGGTCAGATTTACAAAAAAGATACTTGAATTCAGTGTAGGGATGGATCGAAAAACAAATACAGAACTCCAAGATGATGGCAACACAAGCTGTCAGGAGGCACAGAAGGTTCCATTTATCAGTTGACCACACTGAGTTGTCAGACTGGACTCAGCATATGATATTCTGATCTGGTAGAAGCCTGGCCCAACAGTAAATGTGATCTTGAGGGCAGCTTTATAATGCTCTCAAAAAAGTCTGTGAAAACATGCTCAGGTAAGAATGGGAGAGGCTACAAATACTTGGTAAGTAGAAACACACTGTAAATCAAACACCCAGTCTGAAGGAGAACTATGCAAATGCAAACTGCAGTGTTTCCTAGGACTCAGAGCCCAGTGTCAGAATGCAACAAAGTCCAGTACATTATTTCCTTCAAATCTATTCATTTTTGCCTAAATTGGACTTGTTTCTTCTACTGATTTTACAAAACACTTGATGGTCAGAAATTTTCACACATTCTACAGAACCTTAGATGAGTATAATCTGGAAGCACATAAAGCTCAGTTGGGAAGTGTTATACATACCTTTCCTGCGCAGGAATTCTAGGATTACCACTAGGATAACAAATGCAGTAAGGAGGGAAATAAGAATATTTCTATGTCGTTTGTGAGAACTGTCTCCTTTAAAAAAAAATTTAAAAAAAAGAAATCATACTGGTTAGTTAGAAAGTAACTGTATGATACACTAGTTCAGTAGAGCTACAACCCCAAATATGCTTTATAGCTATTTTTTAAAAAGTAACCTCAATAAATTAATGCACCAAAGTGAGTTATTAGCAAAACCCTGAGCCATCTCCAGGACAGTTACATGTTAAGTACCTCATTTCAGTGAAGGCACATCACCCCTTGAGAGGTAATGGCTATTCCAGTTCTTGGAATGGCCTGTGAAAGGTTGGGCCAGATTTCAACAAATGAAATTTCAGCAAATATCTTGTATCGGGTTTGCACTGCAAGGTTTTGATGGTTTCTGTGAGAAGGTGCCAGAAGCTGCCCCCATGTCAGATAGAGCTAATGCCAAGCTGGATCTGCTGCTGGCCAAGGCAGAGCCCACCAGTGACTGTGGTAGTGTCTCTGGGATAACACTTCTAAGAAAAGGGAAAAACTGCTGGGCAACAAAAGCAAGGGTGAGAGGGGAGTGACAATATCTGAGGGAATCTGCCCAACAGACACCAAGGTCAGTGTGGAAGGAGATGCAGGTGCTGGAGCAAGGATTCCCCTTTAGCCCATGGAGGTCCCCACGTCAGAACAGGTGGATGCCTGAAGGAGGCTGTGATCCCATGGGAAGCCCACAGTGGAGCAGCCTCCTGGCAGGACCTGTGGCCCCATGGAGAGAGGAGCCCATGCTGGAGCAGCTTTGCTGGCAGAACTTGTGACCCCTGACCCCATGGGAAGCCACACTGGAGCAGTTCAAAAAGAAGCGTTGCCTGTGGGAAGAACTCGTGGTGGAGCAGTTCATGGAGACTGTCTCCTGTGGGAGGGACCCCACACTGGCTCAGGGGAGAGGGTGAGGAGGCCTGCCCCTGAGGAGGAAGGAGTCTCTGGGATAACACTTCTAAGAAAAGGGAAAAACTGCTGGGCAACAAAAGCAAGGGTGAGAGGGGAGTGACAATATCTGAGGGAATCTGCCCAACAGACACCAAGGTCAGTGTGGAAGGAGATGCAGGTGCTGGAGCAAGGATTCCCCTTTAGCCCATGGAGGTCCCCACGTCAGAACAGGTGGATGCCTGAAGGAGGCTGTGATCCCATGGGAAGCCCACAGTGGAGCAGCCTCCTGGCAGGACCTGTGGCCCCATGGAGAGAGGAGCCCATGCTGGAGCAGCTTTGCTGGCAGAACTTGTGACCCCTGACCCCATGGGAAGCCACACTGGAGCAGTTCAAAAAGAAGCGTTGCCTGTGGGAAGAACTCGTGGTGGAGCAGTTCATGGAGACTGTCTCCTGTGGGAGGGACCCCACACTGGCTCAGGGGAGAGGGTGAGGAGGCCTGCCCCTGAGGAGGAAGGACACGTACAATGAGCTGACTCAAGCCCCACTCCCCATCCCCCTGTGCTGCTCAGGGAGACCTGCTCAGGTAATGATATTGGGAGCAAAGTTGAGTCTGGGAAGAAAGGAGGGGTTTCAGGGAGATGTTTTAGATTTGCTCTTGTTTCTCATTATGCTGCTCTGATTTTGACTGGCAATAAATTAAATTCATTTTCCCAAAGTCGAGTCTGTGATGGGAATGGCCAAATGACCTCTCTCTGTCCTTGCCTCAACCCATAAGGCTTTTATCATATTTTCTCCTTCCCGCCCCAGAGAGGAGGGGAAGTGACAGATCAGTCTGAAGGGCACCTGGCAGCCAGCCAAGGTCAACCCGCCACATGCCTCACATCTAACAAGTTTCTCCAGTAAAGGAAGAATTCTGTACTAGTAAACCATGACAATTACTTTTGCACAGAAATGAGAACTTTTGTCAGTTAGGGACTGCCTTAGACACCCTACAAACCAGATGGTTCCAAACATATTCTCACTTTGTGTTTAAAGAAACCCTAAAAATTCAAGCCCCAAGCTGAAGGCTGTCCCAAAGCAATAAGCAACAGGAGGAAAATTCTCTTTTCTATCTTATACCTCTCCATGAAGGAGGAAGGAACTATGCTCATTGACTCATGCACATGCTAGATGAGAAATTATTTTATCTTATGGCTGCTAGATGACTCACTTGAAATGGCTGAACAGTTTCACTCCAATTCATGGAGAGCAGTAAAAGAGGACAAGTTCCTAGCATTAATTACATAAGGCCAAAAGGTTCAGAAGAGATCTTCTGAGACCTTCTAATCTTTATTATTACTCAATCAAGTCATGGCTAAAGGTTTTGTTCTGTGGAGATCCCTGCAAAAAGTATCCTTCTGGAGGGATCAAACTGTCATCCTCATACTTTTCATAAACTTTATACACACTTTTAGCTGACAAATCACTTCTGGTGCTTTTTACTCTTTAAATTCAACTTCCTGGGCAGTCAGGAGAAACCTTACAAAGGCCATGCTGCTTCCCAGACAAACCTCTCAGACCTGTGTTTGCAATGTGACACATTTGTTACCTTTTTCTTCTGAAAGGCATTGCATCAAAGAGATTTCAGAGCTCCTTTCCGTTTGTGAATATTTAATGATACATGTAGCATTGGTGGTAATATCAACATTCTTCAAAGGGATGGAAAGCTCCTGGTTCAGATAACTGTGTGGACCGTTACTGAGCTTCCAAGTGTAATTCAGAGGCCACTGGAAATTTGCTGTACAGTTTAATACAAGTTCACTATCACTGGTGTTGCAACTTATTTTAGGTTCTGGAAGGGAATCTAGAAGGAGAGAAAACATTCTGTATTACTTTAGTTTCTAAATTCTTTTCACTAGTTTCTAAAACATGCTAATTCCTTTAGTTATTACTTTATAAACTATAAAGAATTTCAGCACAAGACAAGGGCCGGAGCAACAAAAGCAGCAGGAGAGCACATAGACAAAAGTGTGGGGTATGTGCACACGTGCCTGAGAGAGAAATGTATTTCTGAAAGTGACCTGTAAACCACCTGTTTGTGGTTCTCCCATTCCTAGTCCAAGAGTCCTCATGGTCCACCATCCACAGGACTAATAGACACCCTGGTCACATATATTTCCCAAAGATTACTGGTGAGGCTGAGTAGACCTGCACAGGATGATGCCACAGATGTTCAGGCATGTGTAACATGCCTACAGGAATATCCTTAGTAGATATATAATGCCTGGGATTACCTGATCAGCTTGCTCAAAAAGTTTCATTGTCTACCTGAAAGTGCAGTGTGCCACCTACACACATTCTAGAAGTCATCCCAAGGTGAGTAACGATGGGCACACAAATGAGATGCCACTTTTGAAAATTTGTTCAAAGTGACTGAGCAACTTAAAAATACAAAGAACAGCCCCCTCTGTTTCTGTTTGCTTCCTTGACAAATACACAATGCCCTTTCTAGACATTTTAAAGTGAACAGTGGTTCACATTCTTTATGCAGTTCTTCTAGTACTTACCTAACACATCAAGTATGAAGTTTAACTGGTGATCTTCCACATAATCCCGGTACACTAACTCATATGTGCCAGCATCATCCTTCTTCAAGTTAACTATAGTCAAGGATCCATTCTCCATAAGTACACTCCTGTCACGGAGATGACCAAAATATGTCGGTTTGTTTTGCTCTTCCCATTCAGCCACTTTATCCTTGTTTTTCTTCCAGACAATTTCCACTATTTTTTGGTCTATTTGTACTGGAAAAGTAAAATTTTCTCCCATGATGCCAACTACTTCCTTATTGTCCTCATGTGCTACAGGGGGAGGGTAAAAAAAGAAAAAGTTACGTCAACAATTGTTTTATAAAACACACCTTGATGCCCTATTCAACATCAGATACATTCAAATTTAGGTTAGAAGCACATGACAAAGTTGCAAACCAAGGTACACATCAGTTAAGAATTACTCAAACCCAGGCTGTCAGCACAATTGTATGACAGGCACAGCAAAGGAATTCACTTTCCACATTCTGGTCCCAGGCAGAATAATTGCCCCAATGATCTTCCCTATCCTAAGCCACTCTATCCTCAGTACTTTCCCTCCGTTCACTTGAATTAGGCTTCCTGCCCATGATCTGGTGAAAAACATTAAATGAAGAATTGTCACCACCAAAATCTGTTTTAGCATCTTGCTGCAGAACAGCCAGACTGAAGTTCCTGCTGATCAAATAAACTGTAATTTTTCCAGTATGAATACTCACAGTTAGTAAAAAGCACACTTCTGACGCAAAACTCTTACTGAGTTCAAAGCTCTTAAGTCATTGGGGTATTACGGATTTCCCTTGAAATGTCACTTAAGCAAGTTTATTTCACAGCCAGTATGTGTGAAACAACATCCCATCCTCTGAGATCTTGCAGAGCTGTCAGCAAGAATGAAGCTGTTCAGAAACCCCCACTGCTCTCAGCTTTGAATCAACTACATTCTGCTAAAAATGCCCAGACATTACAATATAAATAAGTAAACCACAAGAGAAGAGAGATAAGACATTTTCCCTAATTTTCAGTGAAAACAGCTACATTTGTGAGAAAAAAAAACCCTAATACTGATTTAACAGACAAAATCCTGCTGGGGGAAGGGACCACAACCTTTAAACCATCAGAATCTCTGTGTCTCTGCATCAGTCTTCAGCAATGACCTCCCACTTCTAAACAGCTCCAAATGGCTCCAGAACAATTGCAAGATCACTGCCGTGGCAGACAGGGACATAGACAAAAACACTTTGGTTTCGAGGTCAAGTTACACTTGCATTTAGGAATCAATTTTGGTCCACAGTAGCTGGTAACTTTTATCTTCTATATTGAAGGAAGGGCATGGTTAAGATACACGAGGTCTCACATTAAGGCAGGATTGCCAATATGCACCATGTAAAACTTCCCTTTAAACAGTTGCTATGCATGGTGAAATAAATATTTCAGATGTCTACTCCTCAAGCCAACTGTTCCAAGTGACAGGTGGTATTCTGGGTTTTATCTTTTTTAATTTATTCCTAAATGGCATGAGTTTAAGGACCCACCAATTCCTACATCCTGGCAGACAGAACGTCAGCTAGGCCTTCCTTTCCCACTGGCAAAGGACAGTGCTCGTCAGCTCTTCTGCCACACCACAGAAACACAGACTTTCTCTGACCACACAATGAACACAAGTAATAGAAACGCACTTCTGCGTGCTTGGCTAGAGAACTGCACACCCATGTCTCCTCCGTGCCTTACTTTCTATGGAATACCCAATTTGTTTGCAATTTACCCATGAAAGCGCTCTTCTCACACCACTGGAGTTGCAACTGCTTGTTGTCTGCACTTACACGGTCACCTTTTCCAGGCACAGGGATTGTAGAAATAATCAGAGTAAGCTATCAACTCCCACATCTGTCAACACAACCTACCTGCTTTCTTTGTATTCTACCCTGTTCAGGCAGATTTAAGCATTTTACTTGAGCATCTCTTTCCACCTACCTCAATTAATGATTTCCAGAAGAAAAAAGAACTCAGAAATCCAGGCTTTGTGTCTGGAGACCACAAGATTGCAAGGTGCTGGGTAGGGTGGAACACTATTTTGATCTGACAAAGCCTAGAGTCTTGTTTGAGACCTTTGTTTCACAAAGATAATTTCCAGGAGTGCATATTCCTCAAAAAGTCATCCCTTACTGTCTAAGGACCTATGGTATTCCTAGTATGGAGAAAAAAGTCCCTGCTCTTCCCACTGTGAATTCCACCTCTAGTAGCTTTGGCTCACAGACACAACCAGGCTGTGGTGACTTGACACCAGCAATAGCCAAACCTTGGCTCTTGACAAGAGCCTTCAGCAAGGACAGCAGCTGCTTGCTGGGCCCTGAGAACACGAGCAAGGACAGCCACCACTGCTCAGCCAACCACTCAAAATTTCCTACATTTGGCTATTGATCCAGGTAAATGCTCCACATCTTCACTCTCTTTCAGTTAGTCATAAGTGCTAGGCTGGAGTATGAGAGCAAAGTTACTGCTTCTTCAAGCCCAGGAGTGAGACTGAAGGAAAGCAGAGCTGAAAAAAACACACATTTTCTCTCCAAAGGTTCTGCATGGCACAGCGGGGCAGTGCTGTCTTCAGCACACTCTCTTCTTGCTGGCTGGTGGAACAAGGGCTTGGCAGCAAGGAGCTGATGAACTCCTCCCAAGGGCATTCAGGGCTCCCAGCAGCAGGACAAGGAAAAAGTTATTCCTCAAGGATAACAGTCATCTTCTTCCACCTCAAAACTCCAATCTCGCTCCTCCCAAGGGCATCCAGGGCTCCCAGTAGCAGGACAAGGAAAAGTTATTCCTCAAGGATAACAGTCATCTTCTTCCACCTCAAAACTCCAATCTCTGGGTTTATTTTCGTGTTTCACTGGTCTAGTGAAAATGCGAAGAAGTCTCCCACTCAGTGCCATCAGCTTCCTTTTTTCAAAGAAATCATACAGAAATATTGCATAAGCTCATAACCACTCATCTTTGAGCTTCTGGAAAAGCATGTGTCATCATATTTTCTAAGTTCCTGAGAAACCCTTCCCCATCTTTTCTACTTCATTTTATATGGAAACATATTTCCTATTCCACAGTGGTGAGCAAAGAGGGAGAAGTGACAAAAAAACACTCTCTCATACACTCCTTTTGGAAGGCTAGAATTGCCTTTTCTTTAATTTCTCTGCTTTCTCCCTCTCTTCTTGTTGTAGCCCATTATTCCAAGATAAAGTTCACACAACAAAATAGTGCAGTGCTAAGGCCTCCAGTAGCCTCTGCAGAAACCATCAGACTACCTGCTCCTGTATCTCCTAAAACCCACTCCAAATTCCTTCTTATGCCAAGTCTTTATGTTCTTTCCTTCCAGTCAAATCACATGCTTAAAGTGGCACAGATAAAGAGGAGCTAACATTGTGTGGGCAAAGCCCCTTCTGCAAACCCACCATCTCACCTTGTCTACATCATCTTCTGCTCTCACTTCTCCAGCAGCCAGACCCACACAACGCAGTGCTGTACTCAAGTTTTAATACTCCCCAGATTAATTCTGACTCTTTCAGCATTTTAGCAGGCTAAAGGCATCCACATACAGTTCAGACTAAGTAGAACCTAATACTCCATTTACCAGCAATAAATGCTTCATTACTGTTTTTGTCTATCTGGTTTGACTCGCTTCACTATTTTTCTTAGAGCTGACATAAAGCCTAGTTATTTTGGAGAACATCTGTAAGCTAAGCCCTTTTTTATTTTTAATGCTATCATTAATATTTTTGGTCTCAAATACCTATTTGATATGCATATAGGTATATAATAGATCTCTACAGATCTAATTTGACTTTCGAAAGTCTAAGACCATTAATTACATTAAGGCAAGAAACTATGAGAAAAAATTTTCACTCTGTTCATCATGTAGTGTTAAATAGCAATAGCAAAAATATGGTTTCATTTTGGTTTCAATATGACATAACCTCAGCTCTTGTCAAGAGCTTTTAAGCAGAGGGCAAAGGTTTAGTTGGACTTTTTTCCCCCTCTATGTGAGGAATTTATAACTGATTATAATTCCTCTGTTTATTCAGGAAGAGTCAAGAGTAAGGGGGCAGGACAACACAAGCAGGTGTCAGCTTCACAGTGTTGATAAGTGATTTTTCCATTTATATTATTTAATATTGTGTTTGACATTTATATTAGCAACACACAAAATAACCACATTCCACAAACAACCTGAATTTGTTAGGAGTCCAGATTTTCTCACATTCATCACAATGGCTGGTAAGTTCCTATGACACCTCTCATGGAGTAGAGAGACACAGAAGAAACATTAAGCAACCCCAGTGTTTTTTGCATTTTTAAAAATGTGGAAAGGAACATACATTTGTGTGTACAGAGAAAAAAAAAGACAGGAAATTAAAAAATAATAATAAAAAAAGGAAGCCTAAACTTGTTGAACTACCTAATGACACAGACACAAAAATCCACATTAAGGGAAGTTTGGTTTCTATGCTGGTCACTCTCAGAAGAGGTCTGAAAGAAAAATCATTTTTATCAGCTCTCACGTTATTAGTCTGTGCTCAGTACTGGAGATGGCAACTTCTGCTTTTAGGTAAGCCAGGTTTTCTCAGTTTAACCCAATCTTTATAAAGAAGTTAAATTGAGAAACAAAGCAACCATTAATGCAAACATGCAATGAAAATGGTATTATGGATTCCATCTAAATATGCAAGAACTAGAAGGCACTAATACTGCATAAAAAAGAGTTGATGCTCAGAACACTGAAAGAGTTGTGTGGCTTTCAGATGAGCCTTACTACAGATGCAGGATGCTTCTAGATGCTCTAGTTCACATATCCAGCTTACTTCCCTTATCCCCTCTGCTTTTGGGGCAGGATCCTGATGCAGCTAAAGGAAGTTTGGCTGCCATCTGCATTGCAACAGAACACCCTCACAAGTGTGGCTTGCACTGTGACACCCCTCTTGGCGTGGTATTATTGATTCACCTCCTCCAAAGGGAGGACAAAAAGATCTCTCTGTGGGTTCCTTCACCAAACTAGGCAACAGATACCACATTAACTTTCTTTCCACCCACAGACAACATCCAGGATCCCAAATCTGAACCGAGTTTTGTCTTGAACTTCCAACAACTGAAGGAGCGTGCTCTTGGTAGGTCTAAAATCAAAGTCCTTCCATAGCCTTAAGGTGAAGATTTGTGCTGTAATTGAAAAGTCTGAGGTTTCATCAGAAAAAAAACTGACTTGGCCTGGCATTGTGAAAAGCAGGAATCCCTATGTGGTGAGTAGGAATTCTGAAGACACCAAAGCTACACTGCAACTTCTGGCTTCCACAAGGGAATGAAGAAGGACATCTCCCCTACTCCAAACATTCAGCAACGTGACTGGGACAAGTGCAGTGCTTTGAATTTGGATGGAGGAACTGTTCTGGAGGGGAAGGCTGACAAAGGACGAGGATCTACCAACAGCATCCTGGTGTTTAGAACTGGTGTTTGCAAGGCTAGAAACTTGTGGCCAAGTTGAACTGCTACCGATTTACTTCATGCACTAGATCAGTCTGACTTTCAGGGCCTTGATTTTCACGTGGAGAGATGATGGATTATATTACCTTGTTAAAATTAACATGAAATATTTACACATAGTCAACACACATAACGCAAGCATACAAACAAGAACATGGTGTGAAACCATGGCTATTTCGTTTAGTGAAGAGCAGTAAAGTGTTTGTATTCCCCATCTCCCACCCTAATCAGCCACTTTAGAATCAAAGTTTTACAGAGAAGACAACATAACTAGCTAAGTTTTTCATTAAAGGAGGACATTATGATACCTGCAGCCACAATTACCCTCTCTAGCTGTCCAAGCACTATCACCTCTTCCTTTCAACTGTGAGTTCTTTGGAACCTGGAGTCTTTTTTCTCTAGGCAAATCTATAGCACGTGGACTGAGATGCTGAGTAGCAGCAGCATGCCAACTTACATTATGCAAGGTAACAAAGTGCCTTGGCTCACAGAGAAAATGACAAGAAGATACTCAGTTAATCATGCCTTAGTTCACACTCATTTAGAGCTCAGCAAAAGCGCTGCAGGTGAGATAAGAAATTGCAGCTAAGCTTAACACAGGCAGACTCATGCAGGTGTGCAGTGTCCTGGCTTCTCCCCAGTCCTCCCTGCACACCGGGACCCCCAACGCTGTCTTACAGAACAGGAACTCTCCATATCAATTAAATAAAGCAAATTGAAGACCTCAGGAATAGTGCGAGGAGGAAATCACAGGGAGTTTCTCGGAACTCTCAGCAGCAGAGAAGTTTATTTTTAAACAGGAGGATACAACAGCTCCTATTTTAGGCACATTCATGAAACTCCCCAAAAAAAAAAACAAAACAAAACAAAAACAAAAACAAACAAAAAAAAAACCAAAAACAAAACAAGGAAAAGTCAGAAGCAATCCCTTAGACTAGAGGATGACAAGGTCTTCATAGATTAAATCATGTTTTTTTTGGCCCATCTAGCAACAGCAGCTCGCTCTGATGACAACAAGAAAGTTTGTACATCCATCTTCGATTTCAAAAATGAACAGGTTTGGTTTATACTCCTCATGTTCACAGCCCAGTGCGAGGGCTATGCGTGTAAGGACTGTGCTCCTAAGGCACAGCGGTGGCATTTGGATTAAGAAGGCCTTTGACGAGTATTTCAGCAGCAGTTAATGGTAATCATTTACTCGTACCACAAAAATCGCCCGCATCCCCACCCCAATTTTCCCGCTAACACAAGTTTGAAACAAACGGGGCACAGGAGCCTGCCGACAATAGGAAGGGGAGTTCCTGAGCGTGCGGATGGCCGATACACGGGCCGGTACATAGCTCGATACATAGCTCGATACATAGCTCGATACATAGCTCGATACACAGCTCTGGTTTTAGGCGCGGGTCGGAAGCCGCCGCCCGGCTGTGCCCGCCGCCCCGGGCAGGGCAGCGAGCGAGCGCCCGGGAACGCCCGTCCGGACAGGGAGCCACTGTCGCAGGGCTCGGGAGGGGCTGGCGACGCCTGGGGCAGCTCCCCGGGCACCGCGGGACCCCCGGCTCTCCCAAATCCCGACCTCGCGACACGCCCGTCGGAATGCCGGGGAGCGGCGGCCGCGGCTGCCCCGCTCCCGGTGCCCCGGGCGGCGCGGAGACAGGGAGACAGGGAGGGAGGGAGAAAGGAAAGGGAATGAGTCGGGAAGGGTCCCCACCGCCGTCTCACAACTTACCCAGGAGGGGCGAAAGGCACAGGAGCCAAATCAGCAGCCACATGGGTGCCCCCACACGATCACTGCGGAGGCAGAAACCAAGAGCCGGCAGAGCCGCGCCCCGTCCCGGCGCAGCCCGTTCCTCCGCACCGCCGACGGCAGCTTCCGCTGGGAGGGCCCGAGGGCGCTTCTCCTGGGAACCCCGGGACCCTGAGGAAGAGGCGTTTCAGCCTCCCGTGCGTCCCGGGCGGTGTCGGATGCCGAGCATGGCCTCGGAGTGCCAGCCAAGGGGGTTTGTGGGGCGTGGGGCGCAGCTCCAGGAAGCGCTGGCCGCAGAAGCTGTCGTGTTGCTCGTACATCAGGGAGGTTCGGCTGTGGTAATTGAAAACCTGAAAGTAAATCAATTAATTGTGTTTGTGAGCCACGCAGATTAGGTGAAGAACGAATTTCAGCAGGCGGCACGCAGCCGCCCCCTCAGAAAATGATCACAGAATAGTTTTGTCAGTTCCAACCTCTCTGCCATGGGCAGGGACAGCTCCGGCTCCTAATACTCCCTGGAGCCTGGTGTTTGACCACCCTCGTGCTCCCAAAAATGTCCACTGTTCTCTTGGAGGGAATATCTCCTTTTGAGGGGTGGGCTCAAGGCTAAGCCTGGCCAGGCTCTCCTGTTCCACCCAAGGTGAGATTGATCTCTGGGGGAAGTGAGTGAAGGAAACGAAATAGAACAGAAACCGACTCTGACTTCTGGGGGTTTTCTTTGACTCCATCTGCTCAGCAGCCCATTCACAAAACTCAAACACACTTAGATTCCCTTTCATGAATGGATGACTGGCCTCTTGACACCACTAAGTGGTTTTGAGGAAGAACGGGAAAATCACAACAGTTTGGAAAACATAAGTACTTGGCATAAGTACTGAAAAATTGCTGCTCTGACAAATATTCCAGAGGCAGCTCTGAGTCAGGTTTCCTCTCATGGCAGTGAGTTGCTGTGAGTGGATGCTTCAACCTCCTTCACCTGCATCCCACTCTCAGTGTATTACCCTGGCTTTGAAGAGTCCAGGTGCAGAACTTACAGCCCCAAAGCATGCTCAGCTCCCAGCAGCTTGTCTGCCTGTCCTGGGGAACACCTGCACAGCACAGTGCCGTGAGAGAGGCTCTCACCACAGGTTTATCTCTTGGTTGGATTTCTCCCAGTACACCTGGCCCCCACACTCACTGATGAGCAGCTGTGTTGGACTATTCACTGCCCCTTTGAGAGACTTCAGCTTTGCACTTCACACAACACAATCACAAAAAGAAATTGGCAGCCATGGATATCTCTAAGCAGAGGTCCTAGCAGAGTAAACACTGAGGTTATTCCACCTCTGAGGAATTTTTTTTTCTCCCTTCGTTTTCATACTGTAAGCTGCTCTGACTCATCACTGAAGGCTGCAGCGTGAGCTGGAGTGGCACTGCATCTTGAGCTGAGCAATACTGTCACATTCAGTTCTTACAAAAACAGGATAATACTGATCCCTTCTCCATAGCTGTGTTGGAATGCCCTGACATGTAACTCACAAATGGAGACAGGCCCATCCCATAAATTCCTTCTGCTCAGTGACAGAAGCCACATGGAACATTTCTGTCCTTCAGGTACATTTTCCCCTCTGTTCTTAATCTCTGACAAGTGTCAAAGGGAGCCTCCTACCCTGTAAAGGCTCCGAGTCACAGTGTTTACACCAGAAATGTAACATGGCCATCTTCCTGCAGCACTCTCATGGCAGGAGCATATTCTCTGCTGCTGACTCATCCTCTTCTCAGGTAAAATGTCCTCCCAAAATGTCGGAGGCTTTGGATTGAACCTTGTTGCTGGGAGGATGCTTGCACACTACAGCTTTCCTGTAGGTCATGAAATCTTTGAGGTTAGGAGAGAGAAATCTGAAGCAAACAGTTTCACTTTGAGACAGGTTATTTTAGGGTGGAAGGAACCACAGGAGGTCACCCACATGCACTTAAGGCAGGCCTGTGTTCTTCCTACTGAGCTGCTCCAGGTTGTAGAAGATTATTAGGGCTTCACAGGGCAGACAAACTGAGAGAGAAACTTGAACCTAGAGGCTGGTGCCCTCACCTAGGAACTTCTACTTGGTGATACATGGTAAGGATGCGTTCTCCCTTATGCATACTTATACAGGCATACCAGGTAGATCAGAAAGTGCTCAAAAAAGGCTCAGATGGCTGGTTTTCCTCCTTTTCTGACAGAGTACCCAAGCAGACTTGCCCTTCCTCAGTTGTCAAGACAATCTTTGATGTTTACTTCCTGCTCTGTCATTGCTGGGACACACTTCTGAAAGCAGGGAGGTCAAATTGCTTTTCGTTGAGATGAGAACTAATCCTGGTTCCTCTGTCAATCCTGGGAACAATACACAGGAGTCTGCATGCTTAGCACAGAGCCATAGTTTCTACTTCACAGACAAATGACAGAAAATGCAGGAGCTCTGAGACTAAGTATTCCAGCAGTAGTGGGGATCCAGAACTTAATGAACAATGAGCTAAGCTCTGGGTGTATCTCATGCCCTTCCTTGAGTGCAAACCTCTCTCCACAGGGAGAGGTTTTAAATAGTCATCATTTGCTTAGCTAACACTTGGTTTCCCCCAAGGTCTGGTGCTGCTAACCCAACTACATTGTTTCCAGTATCAAAAATTAGTTTTCCAGGCTAAGTGAATTTTCCTGTGATCAGATTTCCTTGACCATTGGGTATTTGCAGTGCTTATGTTCCTCTGCCAGCTGTTGCTTTGTTGGTGGGGACTCAACACTTTCAGCTGAGTTGGGCACTTTCAGCATTGGCTTGAATGTGCAGACAGCACATTTTTAAATTTTTCTTTTTAATTAAAAGAATATGTGCATAAAATCAAGTTTGTTTGCTTTCACTATCCTTGGCATTCTCAAGCAAATCACACTGTGCTTCATGACTGTGTGCTGTAAGGGACTGCTAAAAGAAATCTGAAGTGATTTGTAAGTCTTTGCAATAGTGCTCCCATTGCCATCATAATCACTTCCACTGGGAAGCAAAATAAGTGACATTAAGTTTCTGAATTAATATAACTATAATTACTCTGTAATTAAGTTCACAAGCAATAAAAAGAAAACCCTTTATACCAAAATAGCTTTACTAGTAAGAGCACTTTAAGCACAGAGCAACTTGAGTGGCTTTTGCTGTTTGCATAAGGAATTGCCACGGTGCGCTGCTATAATAAAAAAAAAAAAAATCCCAGGAATTAGTAAATCTGAGAATTCAGATTTAGTAGGCAATTTAAAAAAGACATTTCTTTTTTCAAAAAAAAACCACCAGTTTTGTGCATTTGCAAAATTGTTAAACAGCAGGATGTTGTTTAACAGCTCAGCAAATACACTAAATAAAACCAGATCTGCAAATCTTGGCCAAGGTTATGTTTAACTCTAGAGCTGTAATACTGGTGCCTGCTTTATATTACAAGTAATTTCAAAATTTCCATAGGACTTGGTAAAGAAGGAATGGGCCCATTGGAGTGCACAGGCTTTATCTTACAATCTGAGAATTGTAAGATAAAATAAGATGAATCTGATGCTGGGGATGAAAAGATGAAGCATTGCCTGGAAGCCAGGAGATGGCTATTGGCATTGCAGTTTTCAATCTTGGAAAACTGATGTGGTTGACAAACTCAGGCACATACTTGTGAGACACTGAGGACCTGCTTCTCTGACAAGAAGCCAGCTTGATCCTGGAGGCAAGTATTTCAGGGTCAGAAGCTATCTCTGTACATATCTCTGGGAGGATGCAGTTGGAGTGGGGGGCAGTAGTCCTCCAAGCCAGGCAGCTGAGGCTGCCTTACTTTCAGTGAAAACTGGAGAAATTTATTTCAGAAGATTTGGAAATAAGATGAACTTCTGCCTAAAACAGCCCCAAAGCCTTCAGCTGGAACAAACTGGGGTAAGGAAATCATTGCTATCACCAATACCTCTAAAGAAAAATACTGTCTGATGTTTTTTTGAAATGTCTTTGGTTATCTTCCTGATCAGACTGAAGAAATTTCTTCATTTTGTTGTTCAACTAAGCCACTGTAGATTAGTACCTGGACAGGGAACTTTGCTCGTTACCCTTCCTGCCATTTAGCACAGCAAAGCTGCCTTGTCCAGCACGACAGACCAACACAGAGGATACAGGTGTGTCCTTACCTGAAAGTCCATCTCAGCCAGGGATGTGGGACCTCCACATCATCAATGTCATGTTACACATCTGGGTGTGCTCTTCTGCTTCTCCATCTGTATACATCAAAGTGGAAAAGTTTTTTATTCAAAGGTCTTTTTGAAGTATTTGCATGTTCATGATGCTGGTGCATTACTGAAGGGTGCCCCCACCCTAAAAAATGTAGTCTGGGCATGTTGTGGTGATATGACCACCAGTTACATTTTAGCCTGCCTTTCCCTCACTTTTCAGATGTAATCCACTGTTTTGCCTTATTTAGACTGTTACAGGTATCTGACCAAAAGCAGAAATACAGGAAAGACAGCAATGCAGCAGGAAAATGCGATGCAAGGCTGATATGAATCTTCCTGGCATGGACTCACTGTGAAGCCTTGTGATAAACCAGCATCCCTAATCAGAATTTGGCAGAAAGGCCTAGGTAGCAAGGATAAAGCACTGTAACTCTATCGCTTGCTGGGATTGGTTTCACTGGCTGATTTCTGAAGTGAGAAGTTTCCCTTGAGGAAAGGGAGGTAGGGAGGAAAGGAAGGTCAACATCTCCTTTAATGAAAAAGTTAGTGAAGCCTCTGCTTCAGATTTTGACTAATGGTTAAATAAGAGCAGAGGTAATTTCTCAAAATCCAAATTAGGTCATTTTCCCAAAAGTGCACAGGCTGATTGATCATTACAGAGTCAAGCTGATCATTAACCACAGCTGTTTTCCCCTGCACAATCCTTATACTTGTGTTGGCCGAACAGGAAGATGGTTGAAGATCCGAAGAGAAAACTGCTCATGGTTCTTGCTCTCCTCTTGCTGCCCAGCTCAGCACAAACAGGTAAGAAAAACATGAGTGACTGGCAAGGGATTGAAGGTTTTACAGAGAAGGATCTGAATTCAATTCTCCCTAAACAAGCTGTATGTCAAGAGGTCCTGGCAATAACCTTGTTAGGTGCGGGGGAGAAAAAGTAGTGCAAGAATGGTCCTTTCTTCTCTTA